GGCAGCGCCCAAACATGTGAAGACGATGGCGGATGTGCAGCCCAGAGCACCGAAGAAAGGCTATATTGTTCATCCATATTGCTATTAACATATCATCAAGAATTGAAAACGGGTTATGGTAAGTGTGCATGGAAATATAGAGCGCCGACGGAAGCTCGCGGTCACATGAGGCTACCCGAATCAGGCTGCCTTACGTGTTCATGCACAAAGAGAGGCATTACATACCGCGTAGACGGGACTAGAGGCGGAGATAGAGAGTTAGCATGATGGCGCATTGTAGATGCAACTTCCAGACGGACGACACTCCCAGGGCCAACACCACATCTGTATGATTGCTATGGCTAGGGTGATATCTGGTTAGAGGATCTTAGAAGATATCTTACCAGAGATCCGTAGGCATTGTGAAAGCTGTTGTAGGTGATGGAGTGAGTCTCCCGGAATGAATTTCAAAAGATTAAAAGATCCGGCTATGAGGCTCGCAGGAGAGATAGAAAGAGTCGGGAGGAATATCAAGATGAGTGTCGAGCTTGAAGAGTTGGGAGTTGTTTGGTATTCTTTTGGGCTGAGGGAAGATGCCGCTGACATAACCGGTTTAGCGCATGCATCACGTGAAGTAAATTTTGTGATCACGTGAAATTGGGAAAGTTGGACGGTTTCTGAGCTACCAAGGAGTTAGTTACTCTTATCGTGGATTGAGAAAGGAGAAAACATCTAAAGTCGATGTGGAAGATATATCCAATATTGAGGTATAGCAGATTGGTGACTGCTAATATGTTTCAAAATTTATTACGGTTTACATTCTATCCAAATATTTCGTCGTTAGCGTACAGTACATACAAAAGATGTCGATCACCACCCGTTATTCAATGACAATTCTTGACCCAGGAACATCAATTTTGGTCTCCAGAATCAATTTTCCACGTTTTCCTTTATCCTCCTCATTTCCCTCAGCAAACACAGAATAAGTTAGGCCCTTCTCTGACAATGCTCCAAAATGATTCGGCACAGATACAATTCCGTCACCTGAGCCATTGCTGGAAGGCGTTTCAGCATCACGCGTCTGTGCCGTCACGGACCAATCCAAATCAGAAGAAGGAATGACTCCAAAGGTAACTCGCGTTGTTCCTTTCAGGTCAACACCCTCCGCAGAAGTCCCTACCATCGAAGCAACCCGGGGGTTATCCAAGGGGGAGATGAAAAACTGCACCGTATCACCCGGCTTAGCAGTCTCAGAAAGATCCGTCGTGAAGCGGCCATCTTTGAACTGAATTGACCCAGGAAGTTCATCGGGCAAGCTTGGCACTCTCAGCTCATCTTCATCTCCTACGTCTGAAATAGCCTCTTCGAATATTCCCTGGATAGTTCGAATCTGTCTAGAGACCAGACCATCTCTTGTCTGATAGCTGTATCCCGGATCCAATGACAGTAGTCCCTGCTTTTTCCCCCACCCACCCCCTCCGCTCACAACACGATGAAGACGAGCACCGTTGTTGATGACAGCAAGTGTGTCAATAGGTTCGCCATTGACGTCTGCAAGGTGATGTCCTCTCTCTGATTTTGTAGGCTCAATCAGAGCCCAGACTGCCACTCTCTGGGTTTGAACGTTATTCTCTTTAAGATATTGCGGCAGCGATTTCTCAAGCTCCGCTGATGCGGGCATAGCCGTGCCAGACCCGTCACATTTCGACACCTGGCTGATGATATTCCCCATGCTAGTTACTATTTCTCGCGACTTCGTTACTGGATAGAGTGGGACATGCATAGCGACGGCCTGAGGCTCCATGGCGCATCTGATTCGACAAGCAGCGAGGTTATATTCATTGTCCAAGATTAGCGTGGGCTTACCTGGGTCTGGGCTATACCGCCAACGCGAAGCAACCATGGTACGGGGCTTGCCGTTGACAAAGAGGGTATTAGCGACACAAATACCGACTTCGGAGAGCCGCGCTGCTTGGGAGACTGGATTCGTGGGTAGTTGAAAAAGGCAAGATAATGAAGGTTCGGCTTCAGGGGTAGACATGTCCGGTTTCTGTAGCGGTTTCACCACCTCAATCGCCAGAGTATCCCTGTTGGCGATAAATAGAGATACACCTTCATACCCCTGTTGTCCAACTAGCACATTTTCAAATTGCCCTTTACCATGTAGACCTCTTGGTGACGTATTGGGAGAAGGCAGCTTATCCACAACCGCCACCACAGCGTAGAAGGTATTATATCTACCAGAGGAACACTGTATTGCATTCTGGAAAATTCGAGTCATCGACTCGCGGAAAAAGGGCTTGGTGTTCACTATCCAAGATGCAAAAGCGGGAGTCACAAGCAAAACAGGGACATTGTAGGAGATATCCTGGCTATGCGGAAGGACTGGTAATTGCAATATAATATCCGAGGGCGTCTATACTTACAAGGGGTGCTAAGTAGGTCAACGATGCTCTCAACAACTGTAGGAACGTAGGGAAGATGGTTGGTAAGCTGGACACACACCACTTGGGACGGCTTAGGAGTAAGCCAAGTAACGCAGTTAGGATTTGCCCTCGTCCCTCTCTGTCTATCATAACTCAAACCCCGTCTCCATTGAGACGCAAATCCATATCCATATCCATATCCATTTCCATACCCATAACCTCCTCTGCATGCCCTTGTCTTCATATTTGCCTTCAGCCCACTGCCATTGATGTTGCCCTGCATGCAAAGACGCGGTCGAGAAGCAACCACTACATTCCCTCCATTACCGGCTGTTCGTCCACTAGCTAAACAAGTTGCAGCATAGCCAGGGAGACAGCGATTAAGCCCTGACATGTAAGAGCGGGCATGAAAAGGCTGAGGAAGAGGGCTTTCGAAGGCGCGGGAGGGATGCGTCACGTAAATTGATTGACGCACGCGGTATTCAGGCTCGGTTTAGAGGAAATGCTAACGCCAGAGAGGTAGTCACTTTGGTAACTAGTTGAGGTGAGGAGAATCTCTCGCCACGATTCGATTTAACTTATTAACTGCTGCTCTTGTGGTTGTCAGTCACGGTCACTGACTGCGTGCCAAGCTTTTTTAGGCTTTGCAGGGCCTTGATGCAGCTGTGGACGGCCCTGACGACAGCGCAGCCCTGGCCCAACTTTGTTTACTTTCAAGGCCCGGACATAACTAACAACTGCTACTGTTTACTCCGTGCAATCCAACTTGACCACAATAGTTAAAAAAAATCTGTGCAGGTACCACCGTACACTCCAGGTATACGCTGCGAAATTGCCTAAAGATTTCTTCCAAAGATAGATATCATGGACGGAAAAAAAGAACCTGGCATCGATTTAAGTTCCCGAAAAATCCGATATAGTTAATGCCTCCCGTCCGCAGACACTGTTTTGTCACGCACATAACTACCAACGTCACACATGACTTCTGGCCAGTGATATCTTCCCTATGATCTGCCGGACAGTATTGGCTAGATCTTATTTTGATGAGCTTGCGCATATCATCTGCATGTTCTGTACTGTACAATACATAAATATTAATGGTCTTTGAAGATTTGTATTGAAGACTTTTATATATATTTTACTGATATATTAAAATATTCTATATTATCATTTAAATAGAAGGATTATTCTTCTACTGTCAGAATATCCACTCAGGATCCTCCCGCATCGTCTAACACACCTTTATTCTTGTTAGGGGAGGAGAAAACAAACATTACATCAGCTGAAGGCGACGGTAATACCATGATGGAATGAGACGGATAGACAGCGCTGTCGTCATAGTGATCATATTGTTTTCGCTGGATATCGTAGGACCCAGAGGGGATGACTGTCGTGAGAAATAGGGAGAGAAAAGGGGAAACAAGGAAAATGTGAACAAGGAGACGACGGACTAACGTTGTTGGCTGGAATGAACTAAAGGTATTATATATCATTCGTTTTTTATTTGGTTGGTAAATCTCTGTTAGGGGTACAGCAGCCCTAGCACGTGACCCACACCCACATTTAGATTAGTGCCGATTGGCTAGGAAGTTTCTAATGCATCAACGTTCCTCTCAAGAGGTTCCGAGACCTTTTGTGCTTTTGTGTCATGTCGGCTTACTCCGTTATTTTGCCGTGGGGCTTGTTGTCGGGGGACCCGAAATTGAATAGGCGAAATATACAGGTTTGTTTTTATTACAGCAGTGGATTTGTGGACAGGACAAGAAGACAAACATATTTTCCAAACACGAAGACAGGACAAGAGAAGGGAATGAGAGAAAGCAGATCCGTTTGAGGCTTATTTTATTTTAATTTATTTTCTTTTTAATCGCCGCTTCCGCTCCTCTCCATAACGTCACGGAATCAATCGTCCGTTGTTGACAAGATCTTACAGGAATACGAGGACGATATGCTTGGTGGTGGTGATGACGTAGCTTGCAAGTCAAAGAGGGAACTCGGAAGAGCTGTCGAGTCACTAGGACAAGGCTACACGGAATAACCACTTGGTCCACTTGGTGGCGGCGCTGGCGGGGAGAGAATGCTGGGATGACGAAGGGAACTCTGTGCTAGGATATGCACTGAACGCAAAGTGCTTAGCACAAATATAGATGTATCTGGATGGAGTTTATTCTACTAATAATAAAGCTACGAAAGGAGTAAATATCTGAATAAATACTAATTAGCAACAATAATATCATGAGTTTGTCGTCTAATAATGTTCGGGAAGATCTGTCACCAGCCAGCCACACTTAGGCAGATCGCATTGCATGGGTTTTAACAACTCCAATCCAGGGTTGCAGCGACTCACAGCAACCGGGGGGGAATTCCACACTTTCGCATTTCTTAGCTTTTAAGCCCCCGAAATGACGACAATGGGGCTTTTGTCACCAGCTATTACTGGGGCAGTGGGGGTACATGTAGTTAGCTGGTGGCCCCAGTCAACCACAAGCAAGATTCTAGGTCGAAGTTGGTTGGAGGTTTCTGCTAATTGTCCAGCTTTCAGACGTCCAACTCTAATCACAAGCTATTAGTTACTCTTGCGCCCCCAACCCGCTTTTATTTATCTTTTCCCGCTTTCTCTCCCCTTCCCTCCTCTTCGTACTCTCCCAACCATTTACCACTGTCGATTGATTGATCATTAAACAGCTCTTCTTCTGAAAGGAAAAAAATAAATAAGTAAATAAATAAATTAAGACGAACCACTCTCAAACCTTGTCCACTTCCTCAACAAATCCATCACAATGGCCTTCACCGCATCGTGAGTTTTGTCCCTGCTCTACCCAACCCCGCCACTCCGGCTGCCCTACCTACCTTCGCCAAGCACCCATTCTTCAAACAGGAAATCAATATAATTACCATCATCATATACTAATCCCAATCCAGAGACGTCTGCAAAATCATCTTTGCCGTCCTCCTGCCTCCGCTCGGGGTCTTTCTCGAACGCGGATGTGGCGCCGACCTGCTCATCAACGTCTGTTTGACCATTCTCGGGTATATCCCAGGTATCATCCATGCTCTGTACGTACTCCTCATATCTTCTCTTCTCTTCTACGAGAGACTACATACTACGCTACACCGATCTCCCAGCTGACCTCATTGTGCAGCTACATCATTCTTAAATACTAGTCATGTGATAATACCATTTTTTGTCTGTGGACCCGCTGTCACTCTTCCGTTGTTTGACGTTGCATTTCTGCGCCTTTGTGCCCTGCATGCTTCTTCTCGTTTTGTTCGAACGCCCATTCGCTCCGGTAATAATCTTCCTCGATACTGCTATTCGCAAGAACCGCGATTCTCCCGTCATCGCACAGTTGAAATCCGCTGAAACGTCCCCTCTTCTCCTCTTTGTCCTCGGACTTGTTTATTTTAAGGAAAGAAAAGGGGGGGTGGGGAAAGAAAGAAAGAGAGAGAGAATGAACCGAAAATGAAAGATATGGTATGTTTGGTTTGCATTGCCGGTTGGAAACTATATTCAAAACAGAGGAGAATCAAACGAAAGCAAAAACTGCTGTCCAGCGGCGCTGATCGAACAGTCCGGTCCGGTTCGATTTCCATATTCCATTAGATTCCTTCCCGCATCTGCTTTTAAAGTCATGTTGAGCTTACTAATCAATGAGCTGTGCCTGGTGTTGATATCGATGAGGAAATGACCAAGAGTCATAAATCTTTCGCTCTCCATTCTGGATGTCGTTCTGGATGTCGCCCTGGAGTCATATGTTTATGCTGTGGCCATTCCAATTGCTTATCTTGCGCCTATTGCTTTTCTATTGTTGGGTGTGACTTTGTTTTACGTTGATAAGGTCTGCTTTTGTCTCTATTCTTTTCTTCTCCCCTTTCCCCTTCCGTTGTCTTCATTTTCTTAACGGACAATTCAGTTCTGTTCTATTATACAAATGATACCAGTTCCTCCGCTCTGATTTCCGATTTGACTTCGTAATGGCATTCCTTTATTTCTCTTTTCATAGCCACTTAATGAAAAGCTCCTTCACCCTTTTTGACTTTTGTTTCTTCGCATTTCACGTTTGTCAGTTTGTCACATAACTTTTATCAAAGGCATATCCTCTTTTAACGACCTACTCTAATCGCTCTTGTCTCTTTCTCCCCATGGGTCACGGAAATGGCAGTATGATTTGCTGCTGAGCCATGACTCTTCTGCTGAGCCTGTCATAACCTTACCTGGAAAGTTCGTTAGCCATGATCACAAGTGTATTTGTCTGAGTGTAGTAGCTGTTAGCTCCTCTGATTATGGGGAAAGTCGATCGGTTCTTCTCCCTTTCCATAATCTTGAGTCTAAAGCCGGATATAAATGTGTGATATATTTAGTTGGCTTATCGATGTCATGAAGTGATATTGAGCTTGGACGGTTCCTCGCATTACTTACGTATCCATGATGTGCCGTACCTGCAGATTAGGCACGGTTCCAGGAACAATCGTATTGTTCGCCATAGCGTTGGTTTTAATTCATGTTGTTACATACGCCGTGGGAAATTGCAGAGAGTAAAGCATGAAATTGTGTCTCCACATGTAGCTTATCCCACATTTCTCATTAGGGGGCCTACATATGACGTTTAAAATGCTCGTATTAGTAGCGCCACCACGGGCGTCAGCCAGAGAGAGTACCCGATTCGGAGAACCCTACAGGCCTCCTTTTCATCTGGATTTGATCCCCGCGTTCATACAAGGATAATCAAGTAAAATATGATTTTGCATATACAACCACCCCTTACGGCAAAAATATGGCAAAATTTTGAGTTGATGGATCATGGCGAGGCAGAGATGTAGACCATAACTAATTAGTCCTTATATCCATGCATCCGCTTTCCTCTCCCTAATGATATGCCTGGCGCGAGACGGGGACTTCCCCAGGATGAAAACAGTTAATTACGTCACTCCCTGTCCAAATAACTAGCTATACCACGTGATCATCTTTGCTTTTTCGGTAGACGCCTAACCCATCCTCAACCCCTGAACGCTCAGCCAACAGAACACCGATCAGCCATCGTATCCCACACGGAGCGGCGCTTAAAGGCTGCCCAGCATCAGCATCCAGCATCCAATGACCACTGGCCAGCCCAAGCAAACCTCCTGTGAACTCCCATCCAGCAATGTCACATTCCCCCTGCTGTTTTGCGGCGTTTCACTTTGGCGCCTAACTCACGTCACTCCCTTTTGGGCCAATGAATCGCTGCCATTAACTAATGCTGACTTCTCGAGCCGCTGCCATGCGATCATTTCACTATCTTCCACGAAATGATGTATGATGTTGTTTCTTGCGGTATTAGATTGGTGGAGAGCGAAATGGCTTGATTTTCTCTGCACGCCCGTCACTCGCTTGTCGAGTCGAGGAGGTCCAGCCAGGAATATCCTGTTTCATTTATTCTTCATGCTTTTACTCCTCATGTTTTTGGTGGATGAAGGGGTAAATATTCTTCAGCGGTTTCAAGGGGGCCTGTTGGAGCTCTAAGGATTAGTGTGATGCTTGTTCATTGGTTGATTTGACCACTTTTTATGTTTTGCTTCGACTTTATTCACCCCGGCCCTGAAGCCTGGCTATGATGCTGCCAGGGTTCTACGAGCTCGCGCTCTCCGGAGCGCGGATCCTCTGGGTGGATAGAAGAAGTATTTGCTTCTTTTTGTGCAAGACGCTCATTTTTCCAGGTCCTTTTCCTTTCCCTATTTGTTTCTCTTCGATTTCGTTTTTCATATCTTTTGGGGTTTCCATTCTCTGTTCTTTTCGACTTTTTTCTTACTATTTCGCGCATATAGCAAGTGTTTCTAATCTTTCATGCTGCACATCCTTACTTTTATACATGTCACTTTTACCTACCGTTTTGTTCTCGGTGTTCTAGGTCTGTCCCAGTCCCCAGATCTGTGTCTCTCCGTACCTGCAAGTCAGTTCCTGTGCTGACTATGCCACTACGATGATCTGATCTTGGTTAACACGTCGGAATTGTTGCCCTATAGACTCTGGGTTAGTTTGAACCAGAATGCCTTGTGGGAAACATGGTGCATTTTGGGGTATCACGCTCTGGCATTTAACTGCCTAAATTCTTACTCCTGGTGTCTCTATTTTCACCCTGGCCATTCTTTTCATCCTTCCTGAAAATTCTCTTCTTACATTCATGCTGTGTCCTCCGCCATAGCATATAACATAGATCAACGGGGGACGCGCAGTTCAGGTCATCGTTTCCCTCCAGAGCTGCCACAGCATGCCTCGTCGTTCTCAGAGGTTACTAAAAAACGTTCTCCGGCTCGCAGTTGCAGCTCGAAATCAGTTCCCCCCGTTCTGTCGGGCAGAAGGAATCGTACCCCGTGCCCCAGATTTAATAACCGTTAACCTTGTCCCTATCTGTGCGCAGGGCTGTCTATCCTCATTTGTACAGTCCAATTTCCCGGCCGCCACTTGCGCGAATTCTCGCGATCTTTTCTGTCTATGTACCAGAAGGTCAATTTCGGGGTTTACCCTTGGCGAAGGTGCCCTACGCTGTGTGATATCCTCGTGTTTGAACCCTGGGAGCGAGGATTTACGGGTTTATGTGATTTGCTCCGGGATACAAAATGCCATTCCGAATACACATACCGTCATCACGGCCACGGCCCTAGCAAGGCACACGTCCACGGCTACGGTCATGACGACAAAGCTAAATTCAAGTTCAACTAGTTCAAATACCTCGTTTAAGGCCACGCGACTTACAACTTCACACACAAGCGTAACCACTTCTTCCTCTCTGGAAATACGAACTAGTTTAAGGACGAGCCAACGACCTTTACCCACGACCCATTTATCCAGTATCTCGACCTTAGCTCAACCAACAGCAATTCCTTCAGAATTACCTGTCCCACCCAATGTTGCAGCTCCTCTCAATAAGGGGCAAGTAATAGGGGTTTCAATTGCAGGTGCAGTTTCAGGGTCATTTTTATTGGCCTTACTCATCTTATTCATTTTACGACGCCATCGTGATAAAGTTTTAGCACTGAAGGAGAGCGGATTCGAAATTGGTGGACAGATGTCCGAGCCTCCTCGACAGGATACTCCGGTTGGCTATCGAGGCGATCCGACTGTTAGAACGCCTGTTGGCTTATATAACGAACCAGTTGTTCACCGGCTTACATTTTCCAGTAATATTGTCCAGCGATCAGCTGCTGCTACTTCTGCTAATGGTTTGCCACTGGCCAATTACGAACACAGTGATGGCGATGATGCAAGTCTGTCAACCCCCAAAACGTCAAAGGCACTCCCTAGACTCTCCTTGCTGCTCCCCGAAAAACCAAATTATGAAATACTTTCCCAGCACCATCCGAGTACCGAAAGTGCGGGGCGTCGACCAGACAGCTCAGCCATGGTATTTGAAGAAGAAGGTGAGAAGTATAGGAGAGCTTTTTTAGCTGCGAGCAATGGCAATGGTCAGCAAAGCCAACACTCAAACAACAGATATAATTACACGGCCGCGTATCAAACCGATTCGCGGCGGCTAGGGCATGGCTATCCATACCCGACATGTCAGAATACAGGACGACAACAGCAACAGCAGCAACAGCAGCAGCGCCCACGCCAACGGCAGCTGCCTCCAAGCTTGAGACTTGTAACCCCCTCCAATGGAAATAATTCTCAGGCCCTAACCAATATGACTAGTTCTGCTCCATTAGTCTACCCATACCGACATGTGGAATTTGGATCGTCTATTCACCCCATCGGACCGCCATCAAACGGACACTCAAGTGGCTATTCACAGGATGGGTACGGAGGTGCAGATGGAAGGGTCAGGAGCCAGGCCGAACACCAATCGAGTCAGAATAGGCGACAAGCAAACCATCGAACTTCCGTTTCGTCAGTTACGAGCTTTGAGTCCGTAGAGTCAGATGACGGGAATAGGCGTAATACTGCAACCTCTTCAAAGCATGCCACGTTCCGCCTCAGCCCGGTCAGAGAGGGGCCTCCCTCCCCAGACTTAAACGCCTATTCGAACCCTACAGTCAGGCCGCTAAGATACCAGACAGCGAATCGACGATCTGTTCGGTTTAACGACATCGTTCAAGTTCAAGGAGGAAGAAGCAGTAACCTTCCAATAGGAAACAGGGGGGATTGCAGCGCACGTCTCTATCAGCCGTATCAATATCCATATCCATATCCAGACCCAGGTCGAACCGTTGCTGCGAAGGCTATTCCTAAATTCCCAAAGTTCCATCAACCACCCCGCCCGCCCGTATTTCCGGCAAGCCAGCAGCAACAGCAGCCTGTATATTCACCATATACCAACAATGAACAGCGAAATAGCGGGGCCAGCAGCAACAGCAGCCTCTTAAGCAAGCGTCGTGGAGAAGCTGTGGCGGATAGGATGGAGAGAGAATTGGATGTTAAGAAGGCCAGCCCACTGCGGCCCAATCCGCTGAAAGCCGTGGAGAACCCAATAGTGGAAACTGAGGTAACACAGGGAGGATTTAAGACGCCATCACCGTCATTGGCGTTAAAGCGGCAGAAGGAGCTGGCCCAGCGACAAAAGCAGAGACAGGACATGGATGAGACAGATAAATGGGAAGATGACGATAAAGAGTTGTCGGAACAGGGAGCCCAGAAGGGAACAAAATTAACTCCCAAGAGACGAGGGCCAGATTTATATCTTAATGTTGAGTGAGAGAAGTTCAAGGTTTTCCCTTTTGTGTCGTTGGTTTTGCATAGGGGCTGGCGCTGCATCATCATCATCTGTATTTTATTGTGCAGGAGTAACGGTTATGGGTTCCGTTCATGAAGGTGTTATACCACACCTTCGTCACTTCCATTCCTTGAATTCCATTTCCCCCGCCATTCTTCATTTTTCTCTTCTGTTTTGGCGATACACATCAAGAAAATGCATGGGTGGACAAGATGAGCTCCCCGCATTTGGTTTTTCCTTTTGAGATCAGACGCCACTCTTGATTCTATCCCGTGAGGATGCATCGGTGTTGACCGCATCATATATGTCTTTTTTATACCCTTCCATGCTATCATTTCTTCGATATCCTCAAAATGATCAATCTGGTTATGGCTCATGTATGAAAACTTCCTCTTTCCATTCCCGTCACATGTTTATTTTTCGCAACTTTCCTTCCTTCATTCCATGATGTGAGCACAATTACCAGCTCAAAATTCATAAAGTAAACGCTGAGTATTTGGTCCAGGCTAAAAGCCTGCTGCCATTTGAAATGCCAGAGGTCAAAATCCATCACATATGTTCGCCCTTGCTAATATCGACGCTAGATTTGGTCGGTGTTGCGGTCTGCCTCACGTTTCTCATTAAATATACAATGTTCCTAGATGGACAAACACTCAACAATTACGGTTGGATGGTTTCCTGGGACGATGATAACGAGGCCTTCGATATTATGTATTCGGGGAGAGGCGCTTAGCCCCAGAGATGGTCTGTTGGTTTTGGAAATCCAAAAGGGGATAAAGGAGTTCCTAGTCAATTGCTGTCAGGAAACTCTCCATGACATGGATCCTACCGCGCTAATAGATGGGTATATCCCTGTCCAGCCAGAGCCAGCCATCACGAGGTCCCAACTGAGTGGTTCACCATATCTTCTATTGCTGCAGAGGCCCCATAGCGCGTCCCAGCTAACATTGATTTCGAACGACTCCAGGCCGTGTTCGCAGCAGGGCGTTCCGCTGCTGTCGGCCATCCATATCTTTGTTCTTCGAGAAGATCCCAAGTACTTCTACTGCATCCTGTTATAAACATCGGCAGAATCTACTAGATACGGATAAACAATTTCATCCGGTATTTGGGCTCGGGTCCACAGCTCAGTGTCCAACGGTACCACCAAAGGTCTCATCACGTATGACGCTCTTTTCCACCAAATCGAGAGATTATCTGCTTTACGAGAAAAATATTCCGCCAAAATTTCGCCAAAGGCAAAGTTGCCGGATGTATATATAAAATTTCTCTTGGTGTTTCGACAAATGTCGAAATATGTGACACGATACCAAGAGACGGGAGGGGATATTAACATAAATAGCGTAAGTATCAAACTGTGAGCGGACTTCGAGGGAACCAGTTCCCGCGAAACATATATAGTTGTGTCAGGTCTATCCTCGCTCTAATCCTACTTACTTCATCAGGGAGCCTCAGTGAGCCAGCCTCGTGAGAAAATCTGCTGATAGGTATTTGACATGGAGATGAATTAGTTCTAAAAGGAAGGAGTATAAATTTATAACGAATAGAAATAATGCTGCTTTCGCTCCTGGTGCATGCTGCGTGTCTTTTTGATTCTCATGAGTGTGTGCATCATAAGGGACAATTGACTGTAGTCCCAGATTTCAGCCCTGAAGGTATAGAGTGAAAGTTGTCCTGATACATAAACTTAACAAGGGATAAAATGCTCTGTATGCGAAAGATCAATCAGTAATATATTACGCGACCTTGGGAGCATTCCCCAGTAGCTGGGTGGGGAAAATTCCATCAAAGCAAACTTGGGCATATTCCACGAACAATAACGACCGGTTGAATCCTCGGGTTAACGGTCACACGGGCGAACATCACAGCTGCAATGGCGAGAATGGTACTAGGGGTTAAGAGGCAGCTACATGGCTCATGGTACAAGTATGAGCCATAGCATCACTCATCCAAGCTCGTTTATGGTTGAGTTGGGAGCAGAAGTAAGTCTGTTGGCCATGGGAGTCCAGCTAGTGAAGGGCATTAATGTCCTGTTTCCGGGCAAGAGAGTAAGTAATTTTCTCCTTGGGGAGGTTGCGTTTTTTTCTAGGAATATTGCTGCTGAAGGGAACACGATACCAATGTCCTTTTTTTCTTTCTCTTTTCTTTTCTTTTATATTTTTTATTTTTTTATTTTTTTATTTTCAAAGTTAGAGATCCATGAATGCGTCAGCTCAGCCCTTGGATGCCAAGAGGGCCGATGTGTGGTTAGGGGCGTCCAGGGCAATGGAGTGGGAAAAAGACTGCAATCGTCGTTAAAGGAAAAGGAGGTTATTATATTTTCCATGTACGGAGCATGCCATCTTACCATGACTAGATTCTCGTCAGGGGAAAGTATCCAAAAAATCCCATTACAACCTATTCTAAATTTACACATATAACCAATCTAGATATTATAGTAATTTTACTTAGCTAGCCGCACCTATATCCGTCCGTCCATTTATGTAATATAACCGAGTGATGTCGCCTTCGACAGTCTTGTTAGGCGAAAATCGCGGGAATAGTTCCATCTTCGTATACGCCCCGTCATCACCAGGATCGAATACCAATCATTCTCACATTTGTCGGATTGGCCGTATCCCACGAAGTAAACAGTATCCGGTGCCGAGTCGATGCCATGTGTCTCCTTGCGCCACTGTCGGAGGAGCCATGTGGCAAACAGGAATGTCCCTAGTTGAGGCTTGCCAAATGCAGTTGTCTTGAGTTCCTTCGAGTACTTATGGGAGTACGCTGGCCTCGTCCTTGGGCTCTACTGTCTTGTTTATATCCCATTTTGACACAGCTCCCGCCTGCCCGTTACTTCTTTGAAAAGGGCTCTGACAGATGCTCGCAGGGCTCGCATGCCAATCCGTGTATGTTCACGGGACGTAGACCAAACAACATCGTTGTGGGAGAAGTAGACTGGGGGTCCATCCATCATCAAAGGTTTCGGATCGTGTGCCGATGCGACCGCCTTTGGAGATGCACAGGTCCAGAATGATCTGTTGATCGCCGGCCCAGTCTCTGCTATCAGCGAAAACAAAAATAGCTTCGATGATGGAGGTTTTGAAGTCCCTACACACGAGTTTCTGTATTCCTCATCGGTTAATTTTCGGAAGGGGGTGGTGTCTTGGTTGGTCTTGATGATGTCACCGGGTGTTATGACGTTCTTGAAAGCGTAACTATCCTTCGGCAACGATTCTGAATTTCTCATCCTCTCCGCCAACGACGAGCACGGTATAGTATTTCTCAGCCATCTCTCGCATGGGAGCATGTCCACAGAGTCGATGAAAATAAGAGGCGGTCCCTAATCACCCACATCCATCGTACGTGTCTAAGATCGGGAGAGCTTTTTCTTCTTCCTTTCTTCTATGCTTGCTTTCCTGTGATTTCTTTCTTTAGATCGAAAGCTCCCAGATAAAGTTACGAGAAATGAGAACTGGAGGCTGGAAGGGAAGAAACAGAAAGAAAAAAAAAAAAAAAAAAAAAAAAAAAAAAGGAAAAAAGGGGGCAGGCAGTGTATATATAAATACACAATACGCTTCAACAGACATGGATATATCGCTCCTCCGTAGTAACAGCAGTATTATTCATACCATTCTGTACCACTCCGCCCAGCAGTTGAACCCGCTCCCACAGACCCACTATCAACCTAGTAAATACAGCACATCATGATTACTGCGTAGTGCGTACAGTCACAGCGCGGAGAAAGGAACATGGAGTAGAGTTCTGACTCGGCTTTGAATATCGAGCATTTGGTGTAGCCCATGACTGGGGAGGCTGGGGTCGGTTGAGCTCTATTTTTCTTCTGAGTCGAAGCAGTCACAGACAAAACAATTCGATATCAACGGGGGACAGGTCTCGCTCACATGCCCGATATGGAGGAGAGGGTTAGCTGCAGCGCAAGGAGCGGAGAAAAGTGATTGCGCACAGTGGATGAAATAGTGGATGGCGCCAAGATTGGTCGCATGAGGTTGTTTTAGGGTGCAATCATCTTGTTCGATGCAACTTGCAATAATTTATCTGGAAGGTCACCCCATGACGTCATCATAAACAGAGGAATTTTAAAGCCAGGGGAACCCCCCTGTCGTTCTCCGGAACGCTAAAACCAGCCTTCACTAAGCTAAGCCAAATACAGTTCAAGTCCTTCCCCTGTTGCCAAGGCGCGCTTCGCGATTATTACCCCCGAATCTGCTTCTCGGCGAACAACGTCATCGTGAACGTCCGATGGAGAGAGTTTCTCCTCAATTCCGCTTCATTTGCCCATCTTCATTTTTTCCCATCAAACCTCTGCAGATGAGAGACCAATAGTCAGAGTGGGAGCTGAATGCTTTTCAGAGGGTGGATATTCTAGGCAAAGCGGGTTAAGTTAAAGTCACAAAATCCGTTTTGTAAAAGAAGGGATTTCGATCCAATTCATTCGTCATTATTTAGTCTTTACTCTCCAACTTTGATATCTTGCTAATGCGTTGTGGAATCCGTTGTTTCACGATATCGTAGCTTGTGATGTGTAATATAGCAAATTGCCGAAAACAGGGTCAACGTGAGACCTTGTTCCTAACTTTCCCGTGGGGAGCGAGGGAGCCTAGTACCCTATCAGTATCTGCAATATCATTCTTCAGATAGCAGATTAGCCAGCCAATGGGAAAGAGAGCAAAAGGGGAAGAGAACAAACCAATAAGAAACAGTGGCATTAAACGGAGGATGTGGAACGGGTAGAATTGGTTTGCCCGGGTAGCCCTCAACTATTACTATCTTCACTATGCATATGATCTTCTCGATAGTGTCAGTATCAGCATGCGTTGCAAGGATGGAAATATGTTTGTCATAAGCATTTCAGTTCAGTCAGCAAAGAGTCAACGAAAAATCTAAATCTTGTTAGATGAATTATGCGAGGCGAAGTAATGAAGGAGCTGGTAACCATCATAGACGCGAAAAAGGAGATATTTTTGTCAAGATATTGATACTCCAGGATTGCTATCAGCTCAAGCAGCAGAAAATATATATATACAAAATACTGAGTGAAGCTCAGGAGGTTAACATGTGTATGTTGTGGGCCTTGGATCTACCTATGGATGTAAGAATGTCTATCATTAAAAAGTACTGGAAGTCAAAAGGACAAGAAAATTTCGCATAAACCAATCTTGATAAAAGGGAAAGTTGAGCAAAATGACGGAAGCGAAAATGACAGCAATGATCGAAACACTAATGGAGCAAACGGCCGATCGCGTTCACAAGCGCCTTCAGGGATGGTATCTTGACACCCAACATGCAATGGCAGTTATTTTCTCCCTAGCTTCAAAGAAAATGATTCGGCGCAGTTCGAGAAAAGAATTTTGAAAAAGAGAGAAAGAATGGAATCAGTGGCGAAAACTTGATCTTCAGCTCCGAAAGAGTTCGCAAATCTCCATGGGACATTCATGCTGGTTTCTTAGTGCTGGCGAATTAAAAATGTATCCATATGGGAAGTGACCTGACGGGCAACAGCTGGAGAATTCCCCAAGCCCCAACAGGCCATACGAATGATGCCTTGGCCAGGACAAGACAATAAGAAAGCGAATGATGTAAGCCAGCGGTCCTTTACATCGGCGCACGTGTTGTACCCCGACCTGTCTTATGTTTTTCCTCTCCACTCCGTCCCACTCCTCCCATGTTCCATAACCCTCCTTCTCCACTTCTTCCTCCGGTTTTTTAAAACCAGACAATGTTAACGAGCTAAGAGGAAATTGGGGCGATTATCCGTCAAGCGCAAAACTCGTTCTCCAGCCAGTGACTTATCACAATCTTTCCTTCGTCGAAGTTCTTCTTCGGCATCCTCACGATGATAGCCGCGTGGCTATGAGTAGCATTGTGGATATGCACCGGGTATTTCCGGAACCCAATAGAATTCAGGCTGTCGATTATCTCGAATTGTAAAGGTGTTAGCGCCAAAGTGCGGAAATCGAGAATGCCGCTTTGGGTTTCAGTTGAAGAGTTTGCGGCATGAGGAGAACAAAAAGAAGCAGAAGAAACTGGAAATGAAGTAGATCGCTTAACAATACGGCTGCTGCATTCCTCGTTCAGAATCATTTGCGATGGAATGCTGCTGTGTGACTGTTCTATTATCGGTATGAATGACGATTGGGTTTGTTTAGCTGGGGAAGATGTACCCTCAGCCATGCCACCACCTTCGCCGCCAAGAAGGTATTCCGGTTTTTGGGCGGCATTTACTATCTCATACATATCTTCCACAGCATTCTGCATTTCTTCCACGATCAACGGGACTTTGTATGAGCCAAAAAACACGCCAGCTTTGCCTTCTTCATGGATTCGAATGCGCCTCTGACTGCGAAGAGTCTGGATCCCAGCGTTAATGAGGTAAAGAAGCGATGCAATCGGCACGAAGATACATAGAAACAGGTAGAGTGGGAGGTCAGCGAAAAATGACTTGCTCTGATCAAATATCCATGTGCGGAAGGGCGCCGACTCCTCCTCTTTTAGAGTAACATACTTATCAGGGTTCACAATAACTGGTGAGTAACCCAGCGCATAATTTATATCGTACTTATCTAGTTGAATAAAGGGATCAGTTTTCGATATGGCCGTCGTATAAAAAACAGTCGCCCTATCATTGACGATATTTGCGTAAAGGCTTCGATGACGAAACTTTGCCAGTCCCAACATAAATATACTGCCTGGAGTTGCCATGACGCTAAGTAGTGGCTTGCCTGTGTCTCGGAATGAATCGATCATGAAGAGTTGACGCCCAGATGCCGAGATTGTTCTCGCACCAAGGACATTCCAAAAGTGGCTCTTCCTCGCTGGACTTCTTACACCTACATGTGGAGATGCAAAAGTTGTAAAATTAATAGGTTGCAGTTTATCAAAATAGCCCTTCGAATATAGAAGCCCAATCGCATACCGAGCGATTAGTCCACCCAAGGAGTAGCCCACCATGCTCAGTTTCCGAATATCGTAACCTTGGCTTTCTAAACTTTCAAGGGCCTCTTCGACCTCGTGGGCGACACGCTCTCCACCACGCTCAATTCCATCGTAAGTGAGTGACCCAGCGTTACGCTTCACGGCCAGAATGTAGAGCTTATCTACATGCTTTTCTCGCAAGGCACCCGCGATATAGTCAAAATGGGAAGGATTACCATGCAACCTAGTCAACTAAATGTTAGCCCATTAGTTCTGAAGGAGCCTAGCTAGATATAAATTAGAGCCGCTGGAGAATCAAGAAATTAATCAACATAAAAACCAAGATAAGTAACTATATGAACTCTAATAGTTACATCCTCCAACAGAGGGCAACTCACCCATGAACGAGGACGCAGAGATGATCTGCATTCTTCTTGTTAGCTGGCGGATAGGGCCTAACTTCTTCCTCCATTGCAATGGAACCTCACACTGCTAGGATGAGAGAAGAAAATGAACGAGAAAAGATTTGGTGAAGGCGGCGTGTTGATTATAGGAGACTATTTTTATGTTCGCCTTCCTTATCGGCAATAACCAGTTGCAGTTTGCATTGTTTGCTTCCCGATTGGCGTTTTAACTTTACCGTTAGAACGGGCTGAACGGTGTTGACACGTGACGGCGAGCTTCAACGCAAGCTTCCAAAGTTTTAACCTCAAAACAGCCTTGAAACTCTCAGGCACCACGGCAAAGTTCTTCTCATTAAGCTCCTCAGTTGCTACACGGCACTGCGTCATTTGAACCAACCAGCAGGCCCATGCCAGTCAAACATACGGACTTTTGTCGAATCTCGCCGCACCCGGCGGCCAGTCTTTCACATAGGTGTCGAAATCAGCTTGATATGGGCAACTTCGGAACTCTTGAAGGGCCAAGTAAGGAACCACGTAAAGGAGGGTTGACCTTATAGGTTTAGCCACGAGGGTTAACCGGAATAAAAGCTCCTGTCTCATTCACATGTTTCGGAAAGGAACTGTGTGTATCAGTGCCACCACCCAGAATCAACTAGCTGCATCGCATCCGCACTTGTCCCGTGCTCGGGTCATATCATCTTATTCTTTAACGTCTTTGACAATTACGTCTCGTTTAAGGTCTACGCCAACGACACACCTCCCAAGCTACTTATATCGCTCCGGACTGGTTTAACATTTGGGTTACCGAAAAAAAGGACCCATTGGACGCGTCAATACTTTTTTTCATGCCCCAAGTCATTTGGAACCACGAATGAAGGAGAATACTTTTAAACTATCACAAATCTTGGGGCTGTCTCCAATAAACTCTTTTCCTGGTTTAAGTGTTAGTTAAACCTTATAACCTCTGCATCTGACACTGAACAAAGAAGCTTGAGAATGAAACATTGTATCTCAGCTTCATACAATATATTCATACTCCTCTCACCTTTGTAGAAAAGATCACCAGGAAGGAGCAATATTTGGCCCTCTATAAACACACCACAGGAGTGGATTAACATCATGTTTAATCATCTAGGGCTTTTCAAAGATGTTCTTTGTCCTGAGGGCAGCCGCTGTGTGCTCCTGAATTGCATTTTCTCTCATGCAGACAAAGAATCCGTCCCTGTGCCTGTTGCTCCTTTGCCAGCTTCGACTCCTGTACCCGAGAACGTAGCTCCAGCTACTGCAGCGGACGAGGGACCTGTCCGAAAGCGAAGGCGAGTAGACGCTACAACTGAGACTAAACCTCCACTTCCATCCAGTGTTAAAAAGGAAACAAGATCAGAAAATACACGAGATGTGGTTGTGAGAGAACGTCAAGAAGATGGAAAATCAACTTACCACTTGTATCGTGAAAATGCTCAAACTCTACGATCTGTAACAAAAGCAGTTTCCCCGCCTCCAGTTTCTCGTCGATCAACATCCGAGGTCACTCAAGGAAAGACACCCATCTCATCGCGCTCCGAAACCGTGAAGCCAACTGCTGTGAAAAATGGGACAACTTCTCACCAGAGACAGGTGAAAAAGGAGCCGCTAAACCCGAGAACCATTTCTAAATCTCCTGCATCGCATTCAGTTCGCATGGCCATTCTTACCAAGCTGCATAATGCCATGGTCAAGCTCAATAAACAAGTTATCGAAAAGGGCGATCCGTCCAAGAAAACTCTGATTTTGTCTGCTGATGAGGTCGTGGCAATGGCCTTAGATGAAGAGGAAAAGGCAGCAAAGGACCATTATTCTGTATATGCCAACGTTATCAAACTCCGTATTACAAAACTCATGAAGATGACCAGAGAAGAGTGGGAAGACAACGTGACGAAATATATTGTTACGAAATTCGCCCTGCCAACATCGGCAGCAGAGGATTCTACTAAAAAGCTGGAGGAGGATATATCCACGGGTCTGAGCACTCGAGAAGAAATAGCCATCCTTTCAAAGTTAAATGCGTCTCATGAAGTCCTACGCAAGGCTGGATATGTCACCACCCTTCCAACTAATGGGGAAATCGCAGAGGCCAAGCGCGGCGCCGAAGCAGCTCAGGGATGGGAACTATGCGAGCGCTGCAATGGAAGATTCCAAGTTTTCCCAGGCCGAAGGGAAGATGGTCTTTTAGCTACTGGAGGGCCTTGCACGTATCATCACGCAAAACCAATTCGACCACAGAAACAGAAAACAGACCTCATTACTGGCCACAGGGAATCATACTACCCATGCTGCAAGGAGACAGTTGGGACATCTGCCGGATGCACAAAAGCCGAATGGCATGTCTTCAAGGTATCAGAGGTTAAACGCCTTGCTGCCATTCTCCAGTTCAAGGAAACCCCCCGACAACCAAATAAACCTACACCTCCCCCAGTATGCTTTGACTGCGAAATGGGTTATACTACTCTAGGCCTTGAGCTCATCCGTCTTACAGCTATCTCATGGCCACAAGGGGAAAAGGTCCTTGACATTCTAGTAAAACCTATCGGGGAAATCCTAGACCTGAATTCTCGCTATTCTGGCGTCCGCCCAGAGCATTTCGCCAACGCTACACCTTACAACGCCAAGAAACCGCCATCATCGTCCCAGCTTTCTTTTATGGACAACAACAACCACAGCGGCATCCCTCCATCGCTCCCCGTCGTCGACTCCCCCCACGCTGCCCGTGCCCTCCTCTTCCAACACCTCCAACCTGAAACCCCTTTAATCGGGCACGCGCTCGAAAACGACCTGAAAGCATGCCGCATCATCCACCCCACCATCGTCGACAGTGCACTGCTATACCCACACCCGGGAGGTCTGCCATACCGCTTTGGCCTGCGGGCACTAACGAGCAAATTCCTTGGTCGCCATATACAGACTCACGGCGGCGAGATGGGGCATGATTCTATGGAGGATGCGAAGGCGACGGGCGACTTGGTTAGGGTTAAGGTGAGGGAGACGTGGGGGGCGTTGAAGAGGGCTGGGTATTCGTTTGAGAATGGGAAGTTAGTGGAGCCGCATGAAAGTGGGGCGGTACTGGGGTGAAGATGAATGGTGGTGTTCTGGGGCATGGAGCGCGGGTGAAGAAGAGGGAGGAGGTTGGGGGTGGGGGGGGGGGGGAATGTGAGAAGCGATAGACGCTTGATCCTCATTTTGGTTGCGGGGATATTTTTGCATGGGCTGCGTTTGTCTAGAGACCGCTTGTGCCGTTACATGACTTATTTTTCGGGGCTGATTTTGGCTGCTTATTTTCTATCTGTTCATAACACACAAGGACAATTATCATTTGTTGCAAGACTGCAACCCTCATGTGTCCGGTTATCCTGCTGCTACACGTCCAATGCCGCTCAAAAGACAAGTTTACGAATACTGTTAAGTTCGAAGAGCACAATTAAGGGAAAAACTGGAGATGGATATACTGCGAAACCCTACACCGGGAATAAAATTCGATTTCCTGGATTTAGTGAGATCCCTATCACGTAGTTGAAGAAAGGATTGTGCAATGTTTTCTTTCTTTAAAAAGAAAACCAACCTAAACTCCACTTAAAGATATAAACGTAGAGTATATCACGGCATCCATTCATCATCAAAGATAAGCGATGCCTAGGTTTGCACAACCGCATCAAACCCCATCCACCCCTTTTTTGAAACCCAAAATGCAGAATCTGATTCCTCAAACCTAATCCTCATCCTCATCTGCCCCGTCATTGACGACGTTGTAGAAGCGCAGCTCATATACACCCTTGGAGGTGGAGACGACACGCAGCCAATCGCGCAGCTGTTGCTTCTTGAGGAATTTCTTCGTCCTACACACAGTATTCAGTCAGCATCCACCTACATTTGGGGAGGGCGGTAAATTCCGCAAAATGCCAGGCCAGATACAGCCCTAGAGACACATGTGACTGTGGCATGGGAAATGGATGAAAAACGTACAGGTACTTCAAATACCGTCCAGAGAAAGGAATGTGTGTGACAACCTCGATCTTGCCATCTCCGACCTGGGAGATCTGGATGGAATCGCCAAGGTTGCCAACGCGGCCCTCAACCTTGATCTTGTCGTGCAGGAACTTCTCGAAGGCGGATACATCGAAGATTTTGTCGTTGGCGGGTTGGGAGGCGTTGATGATGTACTGTTTGCCATTTGGCGTTGGTTAGAGGATCGCATTGGAGGCGAAAGGAGGAGGGGGTTTGTTTGCACATGGAATGTATATAACATACCTTTTTCGTCACCTTCTGAGGCTTGCGGGCCTGTACTTTTGACATCACGAGAGGGTTGTTGGTTAGCCTACTGTTCCTGACACTCCTTCTCCGGGTGATAAAAGAGGTATTAATCCTTTTACAATCACTTGATACCAGTTCTGTTTTGCTTCTCTCCAGCTCTCCATCCATTCACCCCTCCATCATCCATCCTTTACCATGTACATGATAAAAGAGGAGAGGGACGGAGCAGAGGGAAAACGGCAAAAAGAAACCGGTTATCAAGGGGAAACGACAAAGCGGTTTGAGGTCGCAAGGCAGAGACATACAGTTTGAGGAGCCATTGTGAATTAGCGGAGGATGAGGATGATGTGGAATAGATCCGTGATGAGAGGCCGCAAAGAGGTCGATATCCTGCGGTATTCTTGTTGGAATCAGATATAATGTTTTTGGAGATTGGATGAAGTTTGCGAGTTGTTGATTAACAACGGGGGGGGGGGCATGTGGGATGAAAACTCTTGGCATCGAGTTGTGGAAGTTAATTAGGGTTAGGGTTATTGTGTCATGTGACTCACTCAGATGGTCAGTACAGCGACCATTGGAAATAGATGGAGCCCCACCCTTAATTACATATTCGGCTGATGGCATTTTGATATCTAGTAGCCTGTATGTTTTCCCAAAATACGATATTGATGCGTGCATTCATGGGTAATCACAAGCCTTACTATTGATTCATACATCATGTTGGACTGGACTGAACTAAGACAGAACTTACGGATTTTGAACACGGATGTTGAACATTCACTATTATCCTGCTCCGTAGGTGATGCAAAAATCCCGGAACAGCTGATTTCTGCAAATGCCATCCTCGCATGACCCATCTAACCGGTCATCAAATGCTCAAGGCAGTACTTCATCCAAGGAGTATCAGATCTGAATCTTTTAATCTTCTTACGTGACGTATCATTTGTCAGCCCTGACACCGTGTGATTGGTGGGTTGGACGAAGAGCGAATCAGCCTGCGAAGAGGTGTGTTTTTGGAGTTTCGGGCCGACCCCAATAGCAAAGTATAGTATAAATACCTTTTGAGACAGACAAATGAGTCATCTGATTGCAGAATGTTTGGACGTGAGTGATCAAAGATTTCTAATCATGTGGCGGACCTTTTTCTTCTTGAAGCTACGTGAGTTTTTACATATCTAGCCCGCAACATACCGACTCATGGGAAGTTGCGGAGCATCCAGCGTTGGGAGTTGCGGTTGGTTTAACTATAACCAGGGCAATCTCGATTGTGGTCTCGCGTCACGAAAAGTTTTTGGTACGTTCGATTAGCTTTGGGGCACTCGGGAGGGATGAAGAAATCTGTCCGTTCCCTTCGAGGAGTTATCTCCGAGAAATTATTCTTAGTAGTACAGTGAGGAAAGGTTTGATCAAACTACACGCCACGATGACGAAAGGCTTCCCTGGAACCGAGGGAGGTTGGGCATTATATTAAGTGTCAGCCACTTCCGAGTGGGTCTTGGATGAGGCTCCCCTTAAATTAACTATTATTGGCACTCTGTTGACACAACTCACCTTGATGGCGAGATATTCCAGAAATGGGGGGCTAACCCAACCGTATAGTTCGGATTTTTTTGAGTCGAACGCATTATTTATATATTCTTGGAAGCTCTGCTCTTCCGAGGAATTCCATATATTAATCATACGGTACATGATGGACTACACAGTCAGTCTAATAATAGTAGTTCTATGGAAATCAAGCATTAACCAGTTAGTTTAACTTATATTAGGGATATTAGTAAGAGCATTTGAACCAAGGTTCCACCGGGGCATCATCATCAGCCATCAGCACCTTCCAAAGTTCGTCATTCCTTGCTTGGCTGCGGGTTAGCTGAGTAACGGTAACTGACTACTTGAGCGGTTCCTTCCCCCGCCACCACCCCATCAACATCAACATCAACCAAACCATCGGCTTTTATATCTCTATACCCACCTTTCCGAACTGGAGATTCTTATTTTATTTGCTACATTTCCCTTAACGTTCCCGCATTACGACAGCCGCCAAAGTGTTTCGTACTAGGCCTATCTCAACTGTTTCCATAGCAAAGTATCTTAAAAAGAGACCTCGCCCAGTCGTCATGTCCTCTGCCACTTCTTTCTACGACTTCCAGCCGCTAGACAGTACGTGAAAACATCTATCCACCCAAGAGATAACAGATCCGGAAGAAAAGGGAAAAGTTAATGAATTCAGAACAAGGAGAGAGAAATTCTAACGTTCCAAACAGAAAAGGGCGAACCCTTCCCCCTGACTGGCCTCAAAGGCAAAGTCGTCCTCATCGTTAACACCGCCTCCAAATGCGGCTTCACTCCACAATTCAAGGGTCTCGAATCCCTCTACACCTCCCTCTCGACTACCTACCCTGGTAAATTCACCATCATCGGCTTTCCCTGCAACCAATTCGGCTCGCAGGAGCCAGGAACCAATGACGAAATCCAATCCTTTTGCTCCGCCAACTACGGCGTCACGTTCCCTGTCCTGAGCAAAGTCGACGTGAACGGCGAAAACGCGGCCCCTCTGTGGAAATGGCTCAAGTCTGAGATGCCCGGTATCATGGGCATGAAGCGTGTGAAGTGGAACTTTGAGAAGTTTTTGGTCAGTGCGGATGGAAAGGTTGTCCATCGTTGGGCGAGCTTTACGAAGCCTGAGTCGCTGAGACATGCGATTGAGAAGGAGATCCATAAGGCCGAGGGACAACCTGCGGAACAGGAACCAGCTACCGAGGTTCCGACGGTGAAACCTGAAGAGCAACGTCCTGAGGCTTCACAACCTTCTCAGCCTTCGCAGCTGTGATTGTGTGTGGTTTTGCCGAGTTGAAAGGACAGTTGCGTCTTGGATATAAGATGTTTCAAGATTCCCCATAGATGGCGGATGGCGTATTGTGGATGGTATTGTCTTCTCCGCCATTCTTCTCTTTTCTTTTTTTCTTTTTTCTTTTTTCTTTTTTCCTTTTTTTTTTTTTTTTGTTGGCTTTAGTTTACATGTTGATATGCATTTCCTCTGGAGGAATTTCGGGGCGTTTGTTAATTTATTCTTATGCCAGACCCCCTTTCCCCCAAGAAAAGGACCGGGCGGTTCACTACCCCATTCAGCATTCTTAACACACTGTATCAGAAGATTCCTCGTCGTGTTCATTGTTTTGTTTTGTTTTTGTATACATATTTTGTTGTAATGTTGTGTCTTGTTCCCCCTTTCCTCTCCCCTAATGTATGTGTCTGTTTCTGCTCCATCCTCAAACTTTCATGATACCGAAGATTCGTCTGGTTTTTATAGAATTATCAAAACACAAACGCAAATTGCATGTATAATTATACCAAGTTTAATTTTTAATTTTTTTTTAATTTATTTTTATTTTAATTTCTTATTCCGAATCGGATCGTTTGTTAATTAACGGCACTGTTTCCCATTTTATCTATAGGTGTATATACCTATGGATGCACATACATCTTGTTTTCATTTTAGATTCAAAACCCATTCATTCACTCATTCCCAGCTGCAGAAGGCTTGGGGACCAAATTTCGGAGAGCCAGGTCATACACGACGTCTTCGACTTTCTTAACCTGTTCACCAGAGTTAGAAAGGACTGAGTGGATGATGTCAAAGCTCGGTAAAAATAGGAAAGGGCATACGTTATATTTAATCCCATCGAACCTCTTGCGCAGACTGTCGTTTTTCAGATTCAGCAGCTGGAAGCCGGCAAAGAGCTCTGAGACGAACTTGCTAATCTGTAGCGGACGAGAGTAGTCTCCCAGCGTTACTGAGTTGACGGCTAGCCGGCTCTGGCGCATCG